TCTCAAGCAGTGAACATAAAATAAGACAAATAGCTGTTTTATCTAAGGTGAAAAATTCACTATAATAAAGGGAGATAAGAGTCAAAACATTCAATCTCCCTTTAATGACAAGTTCCACTCAGTGAATCAATATTACCTTCTCCTTCTTCCCACTTTGACCTCAGTCAGAGTTAAGTGTTTCTGCTAAATATTTCAGGCACAGCAAGATTCCTGTTTGTAATGCAGATATTGAATGAAAAGGCCATTAGTATGGCCTTTAAGTTTAATGTCTGTTCTCCTGCAGAACAAGGAAGCTCAGTTCCTGCAGCTTTAAAGTGAATCAGAATATGATGGTTTAGAGCAATCCTGTGCATGGCTATTTAGAAGTAAACCCCACAATTTTCAACAAGGTTTGTCCACTAATAAACAGACGGCTTGCTAGGAAATAAGTCTCCTCAAAATGAATTTATTTTTCAGTAAGACTTCTTAGGATTACAGTACAAGCAAGGCAAACGTATTGTGGAGAATTCTAAACTGTTGTTGGATGACAATGTTTTTATTATTATTATCATCATCATTATTATTATTATTATTATTATTATTATTATTATTATTATTATTATTATTTATTATTATTATTAAAATAAATACCTGTATCATCAGCTGAGTGCTTCGTTCTGTTCCAGGAAAATAACATATTACCAAATCCACATACAGAAAAATGTTAGAATAGTATTAGTTGACAGGAAAGTATTTCAATTTTTAAGAGTGCTCCTGATGTCACTTTTTTAAAAAACATGTATTTAAAATGTCTGTCAAATTTTATATGAATATGTCATTTAAAAATGTTTAGATCAGACAGGATAACTGTGACCCCCCACATGTTGTTGGGCTGAAATTCCTTCCAGACTTAACCAGCATAATTGAACCCTGCACACTGGTCTATTCATGCCTTAGCACTTTATAGGGCATGCTCTATTCACAAAGAGCACTGACCCATTATTACCTTGCATGGATTGAGAGTGCCCTAAAACTATACAACTGACAACTGTCTTCAGGAAAAGACCAACAAGAGGCAGGCAAGCTTGTCTTCCCTTATTGATCGCCTCAATGAGAAGCCCCTGAAAAGCTTCAAAGGATCCTGAAATTTTTCTCTGAACACAGCATGAAAACCACTGTGCTACACTATATAATTTGTAAACAAGTCCAGAATGTTCAATGTGAAGCATCAAAGTAGTGGTTATAGTAGCAAAAGCAGATACAACAATCTGGCCTTTGTCCAGTGACCCGTAAGTGGGAGCAGAGACACTGTTGTCTATAGGACATTCTCTTGAGCTAGTTAGCTAGCATTGGGGGAATGAAAGTGGAGACGTTCAGGTCTACCTGTGCAAAATGGTCATTAGATTACAACTCTGATATGCTACAATGCAGTATTACTGTTATGCTTATTATACTTATAACCATATATACTTGACTATAAGTCGACCTCATTCAAGTCAAGGGCAGGTTTTGGGGCCCAAATTATAGATTTTGATATGACCCATGGATAAATTGAGGGTAAAACTTAGGGGCATGCAACAAATTATCTAAATGATGGAAAGGAAAATGATGCCAAAGAGCCTACAAAATTCTGGAAGGCATAACAGTGCTCACCCTAAAGGCTGGATGGATGAGAGAATGGGCTGGGTGGATAGGTGTCAGTGCTTCCAGGACACATTACGCTCTTGCTTATCACCAGAGGATGGTTCCCCTTTTTTATGAGTTAAAGTACAGTATTTACATTGACTTGTGGATAAGTCAACCCAGGTTTTGGGGGTCAATTGTTTGACTAAAATTTCTAGACTTATACATGAGTATATACAGTATATCCCAAGTAAACATCTGAAATGACTTAAATATTGGGATGCATCTGAGAACAAAAGAACAAAGTGAGAGATTAGATGTAAGTGTGTGTTCTTGAGCACTACTGCAAAATTAGGTCTCTGTAGGTTTCATACATCTTTCTCATTGGTGCACTGATACCAGTTTGTTTCAGCATGGTAATATTCTCCAAACAGAGACATCAGAAGTAGAATAGAAAATTTAAACAATTTACAGAATTATAACCCTGAACCATATTTGATGGACAACCCCATGCAAGGTAAATGATTCTCCTGCTGTAGGAGGCATAGACCTATTCCTAGTTGTGTCAGCAGTATACAACTACTGACACTTGTTACAAGCATCTGATTGAACTGGCAACATCAGCCAGACCTTAAGGCCACAGTGAAAACTTAGACTTACACCCCTGAAGAGAAAAATCAAGTGTGTTTCTTTTTTACAAGAAAATAATTCTGGGTATATCCACTCTGCAGAAATAAAGCAGTTTAACACCATTTTGTCATGATTCTATCCTACAGAATCCTGGGATTTTTAGTTCGGTGAGGCACCAGACCTTTCTGACAGACCAGGCTAAATTCCCCACCAAACTACAAATCCCAGGATTCCACAGGATGGGGCCATGACAGTTAAAGTGATGTCAACCTGCTTGATTTCCCCTGTGTGGAAGAGCTGAGAGACAGAAATTGGTATATGTGGGAGTATGATCTTTCATATTTTCCATATTTGTTTAGATATGTAGTAGTTTTCCAGTGGACTGTTCCCAAGTACACTTCTAACACAAGGAAGATGTCAGTTCTTAAAAGAAAGAAAAAAAAACCCTACAAAATTAAAGAATCAGTTAGATTTAATTATTATAGTAAGTAATCACAATGCCTTCCATAAGTTCAGTCACAACATTCCCTGTGCTCATAGCTACAAACAGTTCAGTCCTGACAGCACCCCATTTTGTATGTGGCTGGTGTGCTTTGGGTACATAACAATTCTCATTGTCTGGCTATGATATTAGAAAATGTATCCATTTTCCAAGAAATTTTAATCACATTTGCCAATTTTTGATGACATACATACAAATGAAGGAGATATTGGGGATGTGACTTCAAAACAATTCTTGATTCATCCTGAATGACTAGAAATTCAATTCTTCACAAATTTAGTACTCCAGGTAATCAACAGGTTAATTTTAGAATTTTTTTCAACTCCTCAAAAACAATTTGCAGTTCATGACTTATTCTGCAAAAAAATTCTTATGTGGTATTTTTGTGGATAAAAAAAAGCATATTCTGCACAAAAACCACACTTTTCTGTGTAGAAACATTGTATTCTGCACAAAAATGCTGTCTTCTACTCAAAAAGTTTTTTTTCTGCCTACTATTTGCAAATTTTATATACGCCAAATTGCAACATTTATTTGTGCACAAAACAGCATTTCTGAGCATGAACCAGAAAATGCATACCCCCTACTGTACAGAAAATGTTGCTTCCTGTGTAGAAAATGCTATTTTCTACACTAAATTCCATGTGTGAATTTTGTACATAAGTTCCTAAATGAAAATTCTTGTTAGTCCAGGATTCTTGTCATCACTCTTTCCCAACACTTAACAAACATATTTTGGACCATCCCCCACCCCCCAAAAAAATCAAAATATTTTTTTTTTCTGTCCCTAGAAATAACACATTTACATCACAGTTGCATGATATCCATGAGATGCTAAAGCAATGTATCTGATATAAAACTCTGCTTTCTGGAAACCCATTTTTAACTGTTCTTTTTCCTATGCTCTGGCCATAGATACTAATATTTTTTTAAAATGAGAAAGAAATAAGGAGGAGAGCTTATGTGTATCTTGAAAAGAATTTTGAGCTAAATAGCCAAAATATCAGTTAGATCCTATTTGATATCATTTCTATTCCCCGCCCCCCATCAATTTCAGGTATGCTTCATTACACCAATTATTGCCAATAACAATATGAGTAAGTGGAAGAGATGAAAATGGCTAGGTACATTCTCTCTGTACATGTTGAATTGGTTCAGAAATTGCCTGAGCTATTTACATCAAGGAAGCAAAGAGTTTGGTTAGCATCCAAATCACTTCAATGTGAGCAGAGGATGAAGGGGAACTCATTAATTTATATATTTATTTCAATAACTGGAATAGGAACAACATACTTGAAAATAATTCAGTTTTATAAAAGGGATGGCTTGGGTGAAACACAAATCTTACCTTGGAATACACCTTCTGGTCTCCATTCCTCTATTTATTCCTCTCAGTGTATAAATATTTGTATAAAATGGCAGCCAAATCATGGAATATACCATTTTCAAATTCAGCTCACTTTATTCATTCAAAAACACTTTATGACTCTCCAATCCCCCTAATCTTAATCTTCCACATTTTCAAGAAAAATAGCACCCATATTCCAAGATGCTATATCCAAGATGGGATATAAAATTTGGCAACTCATATTTTTCTTTTAGGAAAATGTCACAATTTTCATTACAAAACATCTGGCTGCCACCGAGTCTCTCCAAGTACCCTCACCTTCCAATTTTTCATGGAATATTATTAGTCTAATTAAATTACATACTAAGAGTAATGTAAAGCCCTACGAAGTACAGAGGCTAACTAAATAGCAAGAACCAGCTCTCAAATTATTTCTTCAATTGTAACTATTAGAAGAATATGGAAGTTATGATGAAAGGCTCATGAATAGTATTATAAATCATAAGAGTGCAGAAACATGCAACCCACTCCCAGAAATGCTGTAACTGTTGACATCTGCAACTCTGGTGCTTAGTTACACAGCTTGCATATCTCTCTCTCTCTCTCATATATATATATTTGTTCCAGCATTAGTTTCCTGCACATGTTGAATTCAGTTCACATGTGCCCCAACAAGATATAAGTATGTTATATGTACTAGGTTAGCTGTTTTATGTGTTTTGTATATGTTTTGTTTGTTGTTTTTGTTATATATATATATAGACACACACACATAAAATGTTTGTTTAATACCATACTTTTTTAAAATACAATGTATGCCTTCAAGTTGCTTCCGACCTATGCTGACCCTAAGGCAAACCAACCATGGGATTTTTCTGAGGCTGTGTGACTTACCCAAGGTCACCCAGTAGGTTTCCATGACCAAGCGGGAATTTGAACCCTGGTCTCTAAAACCATAATCCAATACTCAAACCACAATGCCACTCTGACTCTGTTTTAAATACAATGCTCCAACATAACTATTGTCCATTGTGTATTTAAGAAAGAAACAAGTTTTCAAACATTAGTGGAGGCTCAGCTACTGACTGAGGTACTCAACACTTTCTCTGCTGTTTGACAGCAAATCTCATCACACTTGCTAGGAACTCTAAAAATAGAGATGGGGAGAGAAACCTTTGGTTCACATTTTAAAATGAATCAAATTAAACTGCAATTTCCCAAACTAATCTGGGAACCAGAAAATACATACCCCCTACTTTTCATATGTCTAAAAAATTAGTGACAGAGTTCTTCAATGAAAAAAAAATCCACACATTAAGAAAAATTAAGCACAAAAATGTATCCATTTGTAAAAACACATACAAAATTGCCTACAAACAGTTTTATAAGTATTTTAACTAATGCAAAAACTTTTATAAGCCAAAACCAGCAAACTGTGACGGCACTACAGACCCGTGTTTCAGTTAGTTCAGGGAGTGGTAGAAACTGAAACAGACAGATATGCCTAGAACTTGTGTAAAGAACTTGGAAAAGTGGTCATATTGGCTGAGGAGTAGCTAAAAAATGAACATTCCCAAGTTCTGACCCAAATCTTCATTAGGATCCACCACCACATTAACATTAGACCCACGAATCATCACTGTATAGACGTGACTACAGTAAAATGGGCCCTTGGTATCCGTTGGGGTTTGATTCCAGGACCTCCCATGGACACCAAAATAACTGGATGCTCAAGTCCCATGATAAACAATGGGGTAATAAAATGCTGTCCCTTATTTAAAATGGCAAACAGTTTGTTTTTTGAAATAAAAAAAATGGTGGATGGTTGCATCTGTGGATGTGGAGTGCTGGCTGTATTTGGGAAATGATTCACTGGTTCATTCCTTTTGTTTCTTGTTTTTCACCAGATTCTAAACCATAAAAGTCCATTTCTTTTATGTCATTACTGCTTTGTTTATTTCTTCATGTGTTTGCTTTGGAGTAGAGGACAGGCATTTGTTATTTACAAGCACTCCTGAGGGATTTGATCAGGAACAATTTGAAAATCTAAGAACTTGTTGGGTCATCCTCTCTTCAGACTTATTGACATATTAAGATAACTGAGATTTCAGGAGTACTTTTTAAAAAGTCACATTGATGCTTTCCCAACGTGGCATATTCATGAACAGATTTAATACTTTCTGGTTTTGTTTTCTTTCATGGGCATTAAAAAAAGGCTGATCCTTGCAATTTTACTTATAAACTCTGCTTTTATGCTCCACATTTTAAAAAGATGGTCTCTGCTTCAGAAAAATAAACATAAAGTTTAGTTCCAGCTTTTAAAGCTTGCAAGAGAGTTTAATTCTATTCTGTTGTTTATGTTGCTTTTCTTCATTTCGAAGGGATGTTTTTGGAATGTGTATTGTCTTGATTACATGCTATTGCTTTGATTATATTTGTACAGAGATTTGTTATGTGTAAGGATGACAAAATGTTCTACTAAAGGAGGGAGGGAGGAAACGGGAAAAATCCAGTTATTACTGTGAGGCAGCTATCTTAAAATCTTTGGTGGAAGGGGCAATATCATCACCATCATCTGATACTGATGGCTTCTCATTTCTTAAAATATACAGTTGCTCCTGTTTTGGCGGACTTAGTGTCCGTGTCCCTCACCTGTTCACAGGTGGCAAACGGAGGGGGACAAAATGGGGCATGCGCCTATGGGTGCACAGTGCCATTAAAACCTATAGGGCTTGAATATTTGTGATCTTCTGTTTTTGTTGGGGGGGGGGGAAGAGGTCCGGAACGGATCCCCTGTGAAAACGGAGGGACGACTGTACATAAGGGGGTAGCCTGTATATCTCTATATGGGCTTGCTTGAATCTAATGATCTTTGAGGGAGGCCTTTTTTAAAACTTTCATTTCCACTACCCTCAAAGGCTTATCTAGTAAGGACATGGGACAAAGCCTTCTCAGTGGCTGTTTCCTCCCTTGCAAAGCTACATTCCTGCTTTCTTTTTGAGAGCAGGCAAAAACCTTTGTATTTAAATAGGCTTTCTGCACTTAACTGGTTGAGACTGAAGGATTTTTTTTTAAAATGAGATGTTCTGTACCTTTTACTGTGTTTTGAGTGTATTTTTAACTGTTCTGAATTAAAACGTGGATAATTTGTTTAACAGTTTTTAAACTTTGGCACAACATATTCTCTTGGCTTTTGCTTAACAAAATTATTGTAATTATGATTGTTGTAATTGTGATTATTATAAGGCCAGAAAATGGTTTGTGGTAAAACTGTTTTGGGGATACAAGAAGACTGACTGTGTGAGTTTGAGTGTGAGTGTGTGTGTGTGTGTGAGAGAGAGAGAGAGAACATCTCCTCCATCAATTTATTCTAACTTCATGCATACTAACGCTCTACTTTTCTTTGAGGCTAAGGGTCTTGTGCCTTCTGGGTAATATGAGAGGCAAACTCACTTATCTTTGCTTTGCAGTTCTCATAAAAATAATGAGAGGAAGGTTCTTAGCCAGTACACCAATGCACCGTTTCTTATAACAGTAGGCTCTTCACTCTATATCAAAATGCACTGTGCTCTTGCCAGGAATGTAAGCTCATGTTAAAATGAAAACAACAATCTTAGGTAAAACTTAAGTTCTATAAAGAACTTCCATTAACATGGGAAAACGAAAGCAAAGCAGCTTGGGTTTTAAGGAGGGTCTTTGAAGTACTTCAGAATGAGTAGCCTTCTAGTATTTGGGAGGAGGACTTTATTTTTTAAAAGCATGTCAGCGCCTTTAAGAACATCTGCAAAAGGCAGATATTTTAATCAACCTTCTCCCACATTACTTGTTATGTGTGCCAAAATAGTATGTCTGTTTTCTATATTTTTGCAGTGCAGCCTGGGGAAAAACAACAACAACAACTGGTGATACATGTTAACTGACACTAAACAGGAAAGGAGATGGATTGATGAATTTAGATTACATTTCAAAAACTTATTTTTCAAAGATCTTGGGGAAATTCTAAACATACATAGAAAAAGAAAAAGAGATAAGGAGAGAAAGAGACAAATTCTTTTTTTTGCAACATATGTTGGTGAATTTAATGCCAAGTAACAAAACAATTCTCATTTCAAGTTAGTATTTTGATCATTCCCTTCCTCAGCTAATATATCAATGCTAAAGAAAATGTTTGTTCGTGGTAATTTAAGATTATTTTTCTTGAGCAAAAACTACTTGCCACAGAAACAAAAATGTAACCTCTCTTTCATGCTAATAGTGCTGGACTGCAGTTTTTATTTTGACTCTATCAGTGGTAATCCAGCTTGATCCTCAGAGCCACTGTGCTAGTTAAAATCCCCTCAGAAATGCCTAGGGCTTGAATTATGAAGAAGATACAGGATCACCACCTGACAACCTTGCACACAGCTAAAACCAAATCTGTATTTATTTATCAGCATTTGCTCACTGTTATCGCTTCTTACTATTCTCTCTCCTTTTCATCTATTTCTAGTGTTTTACATGGTTCAAATTTAAGGCCAAACTGGACTGTTAATTGAGTATCTATAAGTAATGTGCACACAGTTTTGGCCCTGTAAATAATAGTGAAAGAAAAGCCTGACCTTGGTGATTAGGAAAGTAAAATTCTGTCCTGATAGAGGGCCTCTGCAGATGGGTCTAAAGCGCCAGCCTGGGGGTAGAGATGGGGTGGAGCAGCCGCACACTGGCTGCTCCAACCCCACGCTATCACTGTCCTGACACCGTGTGCCATTATGCACAGTGCACAGTGTCAGGATGCCCTTCCGGCGCAGCATTTAAATACGCTGCACTGAAAGGGCACTGAAGAGGAATGGCATTTTGCTGCTCTTTTTGAGGCAGCGAAAGGGAGGATTGGGGCCATGGCATGGGGTTGCTGCAGCCCCAATCTGCCGCTTCCCAGCATGGCCCAGAGCGGCCCGTCTGCAGAGGCCCTTAGTTCCAAAACTCTGTGGGGGTTTTTGCACTCTGTTTGCATTTCAAGATAGAGTCTCATTAGGACCAGTGAAAATATTAAATAAAAAGTGAAACAGTCGGCCCTCTGTTTCGCTCAGGATCTGTTCTGGACCCCCTTGCGAAAACGGAGACTTACCAATATTCAAGCCCCATAGGCTTGAATGGGGCATTCCCCAAAGGCACACATTGCACTGATCTTAACGGAGGTCGCCCCTCCGTGAATATTCAAAACTGAGGATCTCAAGTCTGCAAGAATGGAGGGGCAACTGTACATTGCTTTAAATCTATTGTTTTCTAAAGCATGAGACAATATCCCACAGAACTGAAGGGACGCAATATTAAAGGGATAAGAGGACATCCTGTGGGCTTCAAGGTACCACTCCTATTCTACATCTTCCTGTTCTTAAATGAGTCAGTTTTGGTTTGAATAGGGCTAAAACAAGGCTGGAAAGGCCAACTTTCAAGGCTTTGGGGAACAATTGACAAATTGTAGGTCCCTGCCATTTCCCCCCAAGCTGCACCTTGTTGCTCCTGCTATAGAAGATACAAATATGAACGACTTCATTATTTGAATAGATTATTTTTTCACTCTTCCAGGGTATTTATTTGAAGACTCATGATGTACAGATATATATCTACCAGTTGTAGGTGACTCTTGGCTGAATGTATTCCAATGAAAACTGCTACATGAGAGACATAAAGTCTCTTATGATTTTTTTGTCTGAGGTGGAAAAAATGAATGTTTGAACTCATTGCTGAGTGAGACAAAAGCAATTGGATCAATTCCCCAAGCTATTCACTATCAAAGTCATTGTTGTCACTGGGCTGTACACACAGATGAGATTTTTCATTATTCCCTTTTACCAGCTGAGATCCAGTAAATTCTGTTCAAAGTATTTTGAATTTGATTTTGAAAAATCACCAGAATGCACTCTAAAAATACCACGAAGGCTTTCAAATAACTATCATCAGCCCCTTTCAAACATTTTGCAATACTTTTCATTCTTGGCCTAGAATACTGT